GTAATATTCTAAACAATGTTTCTAAACTCTAAACGCTCTAAAAGAGCACAGAATGTCATGATTTCAGCTCCCTGCTTCCACTGCTCTCAGCCACCTGCAAGCGCTCTTGGCCACGCCCACTTCTACGCTCTGGAGAACAGCTGATCAGCTGCATCAGGAAGTTTATCCTGCAGTATGGGCTGCACAAAGGTGCAGGAGGTGCTAAATAATTTAAAATAACTCATTTTAAATAAAAATTCCATGCCAATCGCACGGCTCCTTCATCAGTCAGCCAATTATGTGTCATGTCCAATCTTATTTTGAAAAATCGCGATAGAGCGAGTCCGCGATACACGAACTACTAAATAGCGAGGGACTACTGTACTAAAATCAGGGAAACAATTAATGGATTTCCAACAACATAATTCGAAGATAAGATTAAATTAGTAAGACATCTGTTGGACACTGATCTAAAAACGAATAGAAAATGTTTAATTTAACATATTTATGACTTACAACTTTATAAAAATGCATCAGTAGTTTACTTGCTATTAAACTGAATCTCCTAACAGATTGTTTAATGTACACTAGGTCAAATAGTCTTTAAATATTTTAATTATAGCACATTGCAAGGTGATATTGTGCTTGTTGTCCTTAATCCATCCATCCATCTATTATATTTACCCGCTTCATCCTTTTCGGGTCCTAAATCTATGATACAGAAAATTTTGTGCATAAACTTGATGGTTCTAAGCATGTTTAAAAACTCTATTCCATGCAGAACCACTAATGAAAAGGAACAGGATTTAGGTTGTCACAAGGACACGCAGATCCTTTGAAACCTAATGGGGGCTGCAGCGGTGTCCGAGCAGCACATCATGGAAGAGCAGAGCGGGTTGTGTGTCTGAAAAGACTTTCACATGATGCTAGGTTGGCCTGTGTGTGTACAGGAACACGGCCAAGTCTTACCACGAAACCTGGATATTTGTGGAGCAGTCACGCTCATAATGAGCTTAATGGGTTTACTCTGTGTGAATCAGAAACTCTGCTCCTTTGACCTCTGTGTGAAATTACTGCCATTTGGTGTCCGCAGCTTGGTCCATTAAACAGCCAGTTTGGTTTATTAATGTGACCAACAAAAACAGAGCATATTTTGGTTTGAACTGTTGTTAGATTTCTTTTCTCTCAGAAGGGTACAGCTTTTTAACACCAACATTCCTAATATCTTTCAGATCTTTCTGCGAGTGGCGGAGGAAACTGGCGTTGACGCTGATCCAGAGCAGCCAACAGAACCCCCCCACAGCTCACAGCCGTCCGTGCAACAAGCCGAGGAACAAACAGCTGAAGATCCAGAGACAGGTATGACCTCACAGTCTTTTCTGTACATGTCACTCATCATTTATACGATCTGTGGTCCTCTGTCCTCCAAACTGACTGTTTGCTTTTATAACGCTGCCAGAGAGGAAAAGACACAGAAAAAAAGGTACCTTTAGTTTAAAAATAAAAAATATAATAGATAGATGAAACTGGTTTTTGTTTTTTCCTAAGATTAGGTTTACTTACAACACTAGAACATTTATTTTTTCTACTTGATAACTTAAAGATTAAAAAGAAAGATAGAGTTTTAGTAGCCGTTTGCATGGGTTGAACTACTTTTTATTTGTTTTTAAATAAATGAACATACATTTTTATAAGCATTACTCTAAATAAGTTTAGTCCTATTTTCTAGATGCACAATATTATCGGCATGGTATCGGTATCGGTCGATATTAGCGATAAAGTTAAATATCGGACATCGGCCATTCCATTAAAAAAAAACTCACCGATATAAAGGCTTCTGTATTGTTATTTTTTAATTTAAGAAACTGTCAAGTAAATCTATTGCACTACTACTTATGCACTTTTCTCTTGTCGCTTATGAATAGGTTGAGTTTAGATTTGTGCAAATTTACACTGTTCGAGTGTTGTCATTGTGTTAGAGAGAGTAAATATGAATAAATTTGACATTAAACATAATCCAAGTTGAAGTGTTACATCATTTTCAGACCCCTTTTTGGCATCTGCATTTGGTAGCAGGACACATTATGTAGTATTTTAATTTCGCAGCAGAGAAAGCTATGTAGTCTCTGTAAGTAGATCTAGGAAAAAATATTGGTATTTGTATCGGTTATGGGCCAAATAAGTTTTAACATATTGGCATATCGGTTATCAGCCAAAAATCCAATATCGTGCATCCCTGCTATTTTCAAGTGAGTACTGAGTTTTTCCTTCGTGTCTGAGCCCACATGTTTATCAGTCAGGTGTGTCAGTGGAAGTTCCCACTCTGTTTTTTCTGCCCGCAGAGCATCAGGAGACAGACCTGCTGAGTGGAGATGGTCTTGGTGGGGTGGTTCTGACGGGGTGGCGGCTGTTTTGGCAGCAGTTCAAAGCTCTTTTCATCAAGCGCTGGCTTTATGCTCGAAGGAGCCACAGAGGCATCTTTGCTCAGGTTAGCCAAATAGGTTTTAAAAAATTCTTATCATGGAATTCATGTTTTAAGTAACATATGCTCATTTAGTTAACTAAATACTTTTTGAGTCTTTGTCTTAAGTTATTTATATTTTTACCTTTGGCTTAATGATTTGTCTTGTCTTTCAAATTATTGGGAACATTTTGTAATTATCAACAAAACTGTATTTTTTTTCTGCATTTTGCAGTCAGACACATTGAAGGGTTTTGTTTTTGTTTCAGATTGTACTGCCAGCGTTGTTTGTGCTGATCGCGCTCCTCTTCACCCTCCTTGTTCCTCCGTTTGGGAAGTACCCATCGCTCGAGCTGCAGCCCTGGATGTATGGAGAACAGTACACCTTCTTCAGGTAAGTCTTTATGCAACTATTCCCCTTTTCACAATTTACCTTATTTTTCAGACTATAAGGCACAATATCAATGAATGGGTCTGTTTTCATGCATGAGGCACATTAACTGATAAAACCTGCTCCATTGCCTGGCCAGAAGTTAGAAAACTGCAGGTTGATCTCCGTTCATTGCTTTTTTTTTTTTGCATTGTTAATCTGAAATATTCATCCTTCCTCTGATTGAATAATTACAGCAATGATGCTCCTGGGAACCTGGTCATAGAGAACCTGCTGGAAGCTTTACTGGACCAGCCCGGTTTTGGGACCAAGTGCATGGAAAAGGAGGACAACAGCATGTAAGATCACATATTTGAACACATCTCAGTGGCTTAAGTAAAAAGTGGAAGAAGTAGTGAAAACATGGACATTGTAAAAGTCCAGACATAAACATAAGACATAAATGTGGAAACACGATAGCAGTATTTTTTTCAGGTTTTCTGCATGCTCTTAAACTTGTCCGGATGTTTTATTTTGGGACTTAAAATACAGCTTAAAGTACAACAATGTTGAGTCAGGTCCTCCGGACGGTTTGTTTTTGTTGAAACGTTTCGTCTTTCATCCAAAAGACTTCATCAGTCCGAGGCGACACAAACAAACTCAGTCTTAAATCTTAAAGTGCATCTTCAAACGTATTAATTACTTCTTCTGTCTTTTTGTTTGTTTGTTTGTTTGTTTGTTTGTTTGTTTGTTTGTTTGTTTGTTGTAGTTTGTTGATGATTTAGATTGGATTTGGATTGAAGGCTCAGAATATGCCATATATTTTTGCCATTTAAGTAAATCTTACATTTGAATGAGAATGATTTACAAATAGTCCATAAAGTCTTAAATACAACAGACTGAAAAGTGCAGAAACCCTACTATGTTATAATTAGTGATTTTTTTTAAAAGCACTATTTGTGCACAAGGCCGTCTTGGACAGAAAAATGTTTGTAATCAGTTGATTTTATTTTTTCAGCTTCCTTTGGAATAAAACACTCATCAGGTTTTACAAATAAAAGATGTGAAAGACCATCCCTACTATTAACAGAAGACAGAAAAGTCAGCACTTGTGTTTGTATTTTCAAAACACGATGAATTTGGTTTGTGCTAACCCTAAAAATTATGTATTTGTTCACTTTAAAATATTTTAGAAACTAATAAATTACACCGGTAACTATAATACATGTAACATTTTTGAAAACATTTAATTTTCTTGGTAACTTGTTCAATTTAAAAATCTAGAAGACATACAGTACTACCATGAAGGTAAGGTCTCTTTTTTTCAGCAGGACAAAGTCTGAGCTCACCATACACACCTTACAGCAGAGTGGTTTCATAAACACAGAGTCTGCATATGATGGGTCAGTCTGAAGTCCAAGTCTGTAAATGTGTGGTTTGTTACAAAGAGCAAACACAGACAGCAACAAACAAATGCAGCTGAAATTTTGCATTCAATGTAGGAAAGATGGAGTCCTCGCACACAGTTCTGCAGCAAGAACTGTTCTCATTTCTTAAACTAATAAAGCAGTTTGTTTTAAGTCAGTGTGACGTAATGGTAAACACACTTTTCAAACGTTTTTCAGTGTGTTGTTGAAATAAAAACCATAAAATTTATTACCAATTTCATTTTCACGACTTTGTATTTTATTTTGTTAAAAGTGCTCAAACCTAACATTAAGCATCTGCCTACTGTGTGCAGAAGTCCTGAGTGTGAAAGTGAGAGGGGGGGGCAGTTCATGAGGCCACATGTGCCTTTCTCCACCTGGAAGATGTTCAGCAGAGGGAACTGGAGCAGAAACAGACCCTCACCAGACTGTCAGTGCAGCACAGAGGACATCCGCCGGATGCTTCCTGAATGTCCCGAGGGCGCCGGTGGACTTCCTCCTCCACAGGTCAGTTTGTTGTCAGATCAGCACCGATTTATCATCTCCGCCAGGGCTTAATTTGTAAGCCGATCAATGCTGGAATGCTAATAGCGAGCGGGCAGGCTGATGGTAGGGAGTGGGAGTCTGGGGGTCCTCCCCCAGAACATTTTGAATAAAGTAGATGCGATTTCCTGCATTTTGGTGTATTTTAACGGGTTGTTAAACATCTACGTTTTCCTACATTTGTAAACACTCAAATCCCCCACCCCCTTACTTGACGGTTCTGAGCCAACTCTTCTCCGCTGAATTCGCTGTCCGACTCCACATGTGAAACCTCCGTGCACTCATCCCCACCACTCTTTTAGGGGCGAAGATTGTTTTTAGGGTAAAGGCGGAAATGCTTCACATGAAGGGGCAGATGATCGTATGTGATATTAAGAAGTTGTGCTGAGCCGTCTGTTGTGTTTAAAATGAGTTTTTATGTAATTATTTTCAGTTTACATATTAAATATAAGTTTTATTAGTTCAAGGCAGTCATATTTGTTCATAACTTTATTAATAGTAAAGCCTGAGAGTTACTGGATCCAAGCAAACAGTTGCCGGAACGCTCCCTGTCAAAATAAGAGAGTTCCCGGATCCTGTTCCGGCAGGATATGACTCAAATTATGCCCTAATCTTCACAGAATTAATAGCTTTCATTTTTCTACATGAGAAAATCAGATTAAACATAAAATATCCATGCCCGATTTCTCGTAACTGAACCCTGACATGAAGACGAGAGTATTTCTGCACATTTCAACATTTTCATGATGTGTTTTATAGTGAAAAACATAGAATCATGTTTCTATATGGGCTCTTATTGTTTAAAATAAACCTTTTTCAGATTAAGAGACTGACAGGTGACATCCTCCAAAATCTGACCAGTTATAACATCTCTGATTACCTGGTGAAGACCTACTCTCAAATCCTCAAGAAAAGGTACTCTGTTCGCTCAGTTTGTCACAGTATCGGTCACTTCTGGAGCAAAAAAAAATAAATGTCTAGCTAAAAAAAGTCAAACATCATCAACTTTACTGGTCTTTTTCAGTTTATAAAACTTTTGGAAATTTACAGTGCACCGAAAGCCTCCTGCTTTATCTGTGCCAAGATGGAATTTTATTAATTTATTTTTATTATTGGATATGATGATAACAGACCAAATTTCTTCAGCTCAGCAAACAAATTTGAATAGTTACCTGTCTTGTCTTGTATTTGCCTTTTTAAAACACTGTTAAACCTTTGAGTTTATTATGAGTCAAAGCCTGAACACCAAACCTTCTATTATTTCTTCCCCTTCAGTTTTAATACCAAGAAGTGGGTGAATGAATTCAGGTAAACAGTAACATTTAATTTCAGAGACAAAATATATGACTCTTATTATTTTAAAATGTTAATATTGAATTATTTGTTTTAGATACGGAGGCTTTTCCCTCGGAGGTAACGCCACCCACAGCGTATCCAGGGTGCAAGACCTCCAAGACTCCGTCAGGGCAATCAGGACACATTACCAAGTGGAACAGGTTTTGACTGTTTCTTTTTTTATGCTGCATCAGTGCCTTCTGTGTGATTCACGCTTATTTACTTACTTCTCCTGCCTGAATGTTGTTTTGCTCATCACAGAACAGTTCAGTGGATCTCCTGTTGAAAAAGCTGCCTGAGTTCTTGGGAGAAATGCACAGTGAAAACAGTGTCAAGGTGAGCATATTTCGATATTCATGTTTTGGTTTTTTTTGTTAGTTTTTTAAGGAAGAGCCTTTTGACACACAGAAGTGATGTTAACTTGCTGACTGTATTTATTGGCTTTACCTTTTCCTACATATTGGACATCCATTCATCCATCCATTTTCTTCCGCTTATCCGGGGCCGGGTCGCAGGGGTAGCAGCATAAGTAGGGAGACCCAGACTTCCCTCTCCCCAGCCACTTGGGCCAGCTCTTCTGGGGGAATCCCGATGCGTTCCCAGGCCAGCCGAGAAACATAGTCCCTCCAGCGTGTCCTGGGTCTTCCTCTGGGTCTCCTCCCGGTGGGACGTGTCCGGAACACCTCACCAGGGAGGCGTCCAGAAGGCATCCTAACCAGATGCCCAAGCCACCTCATCTGGCTCCTCTCAATGTGGAGAAGCAGCGGCTCTACTCTGAGTCCCTCCCGGATGATCGAGCTTCTCACCCTATCTCTAAGGGAGAGCCCAGACACCCTGCGGAGAAAACTCATTTCAGCCACTTGTATCCGAGATCTTGTTTTTTCGGTCACAACCCAAAGCTCATGACCATAGATGAGGGTAGGAACGTAGATCGATCGGTAAATTGAGAGCTTCGCCTTTTGACTCAGCTCTCTCTTCACCACGACAGACCTGTACAGCGCCTGCTTCACTGCAGACGCTGCACTTACCCGCCTATCGATCTCACGCTCCATTTTCCCTCATTCGTGAACAAGACCCCAAGATACTTGAACTCCTCCACTTGGGGCAGGACCTCCTCCCTGACCCGGAGAGGGCACTCAACCCTTTTCCGGCTCAAGACCATGGCCTCGGATTTGGAGGAACTGATCTTCTTCCCAGCTGTGTCACACTCGGCTGCGAACCGCTCCAACGAAAGCTGTAGATCACAATCTGATGAAGCCAATAGGACCACATCATCTGCAAAAACCCCTGGGGCCCTGCCACCGAGGAGCTTTTTAACCACCTCGGTGACCTCAGCACCAGAGGTTGGAGGGCCCGACCCAGAGTCCTCAGTCTCCGCTTCCTAAGGCCACCAAAACGGATCCCCTCAACACCTTGGCTGCACCTAGAAATTCTGTCCATAAAAGTTATGAACAGAATCGGTGACAAAGGGCAACCTTGGCAGAGTCCAACTCTCACCGGGAACAAGCCCGACTTACTGCTGGCAATGCGGACCAGGCTCTGACACCGGTCATACAGGGACCTAACAGCCCGTATCAAAGGGCCCGGTACCCCATACTCCCAGAGTACCCCCCACAACGTTCCCCGAGGGACGCGGTCGAACGCCTTCTCCAAGTCCACAAAGCACATGTAGACCGGTTGGGCAAACTCCCACGCACCCTCCAGGACCCTGCTGAGAGTGTAGAGCTGGTCCAGTGTTCCACAACCAGGACGAAAATCGCACTGCTCCTCCTGAATCCGAGGTTCGACTATCCGACGGACCCTCCTCTCCAGAACCCCCGAGTAGACCTTACCAGGGAGGCTTAAGAGCGTGATTCCCCTGTAGTTGGAACACACTCTACGGTCCCCCTTTTTGAATAGGGGGACCACCACCCCGTTCTGCCAATCCAGGGGAACTTCCCCCGATGTCCACACAATATTGCAGAGTCGCGTAAGCCAACACAACCCTACAACATCCAGAGCCTTAAGGAACTCCGGGCGAATCTCATCCACCCCTGGGGCCCTGCCACCGAGGAGCTTTTTAACCACCTCGGTGACCTCAGCACCAGAGATTGGAGGGCCCGACCCAGAGTCCCCAGGCTCCGCTTCCTCAGTGGAAGACGTTTCGGTGGGATTGAGGAGGTCTTCAAAGTATTCCACCCACCGACCCACAACATCCCGAGTTGAGGTCAGCAGCACACCACCCCCACTATAAACAGTGTTGGTGGTGTACCGCTTTCCCCCTCGAGACACCGGATGGTGGACCAGAATCGACTCGAAGCTGTGCAGAAGTCATTCGCCATTGCCTATCCGAACTCCTCCCATACCCGTGTTTTTGCCTCAGCGACCACCCAAGTCGCATGTCGCTTGGACTGCCGATACCCATCAGCTGCTTCCGGGGTCCTACAGGCCAAAAAGACCCGATAGGACTCCATCTTCAGCCTGACAGCATCCATCACTGCCGGTGTCCACCACCGGGTTCGAGGGTTGCCGCCGCGATAGGCACCGACAACCTTGCGGCCGCAGCTGCGGTAAGCTGCCTCGACAATAGAGGCACAGAACATGGCCTACTCGGACTCAATGTCCCCCACCTCCACCGGAACATATTCGAAGTTCTCCCGGAGGTGAGAGTTAAAGCTCCGTCTCACAGGAGACTCTGCCAGACGTTCCCAGCAAATCGTCGTAATACATTTGGACCTGCCATGTCTGACCGGCATCCTCCCCCACCATCGGAGCCAACTCACCACCAGGTAGTGATCAAATTGGACAAAAGAGGTTAAATGTATTGACTTCTTCTGTGCTCAGGTGTGGTACAACAACAAAGGTTGGCACGCCATGGTGTCTTTTCTCAACGTGATGAATAATGGCCTGCTGAGAGCAAGCCTGCCGCCAGGACCAGAGAGGAGGAGACACGGCATCACCGTTTATAATCACCCTCTCAACCTCAGCAAGGAGCAACTCACCGAATTAGCCATGTAAGTTGACTGCTTTTGTTTGAGTATTTTAAGTCTGATGGATCAGAAGATTATGAGGAATTAGATATTAAAACGTTGGAATAACAGGTAACTTTTTGTGCTAGCATGAGTGAAAACGAATGGAGCAACTTTAAGTATTATGAAAATGTTCAGAAGCAATCAAAAAATATATCAAAAAGTATTTCCCTGCTTCTTCTTTCAGGATGACCACATCAGTGGATGTAGTGGTGTCCATCTGTGTGATCTTTGCCATGTCCTTCGTGCCGGCCAGCTTTGTCCTGTTTCTGATCGAGGAGCGAGTCAGCAAGGCCAAACATCTTCAGTTTGTCAGCGGGGTCAAACCAGTCCTTTACTGGCTGGCCAATTACACCTGGGACATGGTCAGTATTTATTCTTCTCTGACAACACTCTCAGACTTAAAAGATGGAGTGTGCTTCCTGTTTTGCTTATACAAATATCTTTTGGAATAGAAACAAGCTAATTTTGTGGCGTTGCAAAAAATAAGAATGTTGGTGCCCCAATGTCTTTGCAGGGAACAAAATACTTTGATTTATAATCAATTATTTCCATTAGAGAATAAATGTAACTGGCTTAGACAACAATTTTAGCCCAAAAAAGGTGAAAGATGAAAAGTCAGATGATTATGTCTTTTGTGTCTTTGTGTGTGCATGTGTTTGTCTGTCTGTTACCAAAGTATCTAATGAACCATTGGTGGTGAAACTTGTGGAGTGTATTTATTGGATGTGTATCTACAATGGATAAACTTTTGAAATAAACCCAATTTAAGATGGCTGTTACAGTCAACTGACCTTAAAAAACACTAAAATAGCTATAAGTCTATTTAATGTGGTAATAGTTGGGTCATTCACACCACATTCTCTGAGCATGAGATTGTGCATAGTCAAGGTTTGACCAAAATGGCTACATCGCCCTAATTTCTCATTATCAGATGGTCTGGCATGAAAGGCAGGAGGGCAATATGCATTTGTTCAAGGAAGACTAATCCTTTATTATTTTTTTGTCATTTTCTCAGTTGAACTACACCGTCCCGGCCATAATAGTGTTGTTGATCTTCATCGGTTTTCAGCAGCAGGCATACGTCTCTGAAACCAACCTGCCTGCTCTCGTCCTCCTCCTCTTACTTTACGGGTCTGTTGATGCAAACTCTAAAGATGTCTGCCCATATTTAAGCTGCCTCACATTATTTGAATTTGTGTTTTTTCATTGTATGTTTTACCAAATCTGCTGATAAATAATCTGTGGCCTTGAAATCATGAGCTAAAGACTTTATTTAATTTTATTCACACTCAGAATTGTACTTTATACTAAACTAGAAGCAGCTAATTTAATTTTTGTCCCAGTTTACCATCTCTAAGAAAACAAATGTTTATCGTTTTTAGGTGGTCCATCACTCCTCTGATGTACCCAGCATGCTTTGTTTTTTCCATCCCAAGCACAGCTTATGTGTTTCTAACCTGCATCAACCTCTTCATCGGGATCAACGGAAGCATCGCCACCTTCGTGCTGGAAATGTTTTTAGATGAGGTACAAACTGCACAAACCAATAAAGACAGAAAAATAAAATCATTGCTTCAAACTTGTCATAGCAATGTGCAAAAATAAATCAAATGCTGAGTCAGCTGTTTTAGAAAAATATTGATTTTTTTTTTTAATAGAAGCAACGTTGTCTGATGTCAACAGCCATTAATGAAAGTCCCTCGCTACTTCACGGTTCATTTATCGTAGACTCGCTCTATCGCGGTTTTTCAAAATAAGATTGGACATGACACACAGTTGGCTGATTGATGGATGAGCCACAAGATCGGCATGGAATTTTTATTTAAAATAAATTATTTTGAATTATTCAGCACCTGCTGCACATTTGTGCAGCCAGCCCAGAGCTGCAGAAAAAGCTTCCTCCTGCAGCTTTGTGCAGCCCATGCTGCTGCAGGATAAACTTCCTGCTGCAGCTGATCAGCTGATCAGCTGTTCTCCATGCAGAGCGAAGAAGTGGGCGTGGCCAAGAATGCTTGTAGGTGGCAAAGAGCAGAAGAGGCAGGGAGCTGAAATCATGACATTCTGTGCTCTTTTAGAGCGTTTAGAGTTTAGAAACATTGTTTAGAATACTGCAAGAGTGTAGGAAGTGTTTAAAACGCCTTAATATATATCTATATTTAAATACTAAAATAAACTAGTACTTGTACTACTATTCCTACTTCGCGGTTTTTCACTTATCGCGGGGCTTCAGGGTATGGATCCCCCGCGATAAACAAGGGACTACTGTAATATGCATTATTTTAAAAAATGTATTTACTACAGCCTTTTTTTAATTGTTTATTTTGTGGATATTTTGTTTTAACAGACTCTGAATGAAATCAACGACATCTTGAAGATAGTGTTTTTGATTTTCCCACACTTCTGCTTGGGACGAGGACTCATCGACATGGCTAAAAATCAGGCGATGGCAGACGCCTTCCAGAGAATGGGTATGAACGTTATCAGTCACTACACAGAAACCTTTTCTTCTTCTTTGTGTTAATCATTCCATGCATTGTTTAGGACCGTATGGCTGAAGAAAACTGTTCACAGTGACAAATGTAGGTGTGGAAATATGGATACTGACTGAATTTTTTATTTTAGCTATTCTATCAAACATATTTGAGCTTCAGTTAGATAAGTACACAGGTGTAAAGTGAAGTCTGTGACCTTTGATTTTTTTTTATTATATTTTTTGTGAAAGTATTTTTAGGATTGTAGTTGTGTAATTTCAGATGTGCAGCTTTATTTGCAGTTCAAAAGCTGCTGCATGAACAGTTTTTGGACTTTATTATTTTTTCATTTGTTTGACAAGTCAGAGGTCTGGTGCTTGCTGTATTTCCATTTGAGCCTTGTAACTGTGAAACCACATTTTACAAAATAAAATAGAATTTAATGCAAGTCAAACAGATTGCAAAACAAAAATAAATATGCCGGTACATAAATATTGCTGTAACGTGATGTAAATGAACCGTTTTTGTGTATTTCAATGGAAAACACTATCACAACGTCGAAAAAAGTTAACAAAGCCATGCCAATAATTTTTAATATGCAAGAAAAACAAACATACTAAATGTATATCTATGTTTAGTTGCCCTTTACCTGAAAAGTAGCGCCATTTGTTTTCCAGACGCATAACTCCAAAACCAGCCGTGCAGTTTTGTTATGAAAAACCCTGAAATTAAAGCTGAAAGTCACTTTAAGCTCATCGCTGTTATTTAACTGTAACTTGGAAAGCTTTTCTTAATTAGCTACATTATAAAATTTCACTTGTTTGAATATACGAGTTCATGATATTTCTGTATCCCAATGCAGGAACCAAGCCAAATCTCAACCCGTTTCGGTGGGACTTTTTGGGGAAGAACCTGTTTGCGATGGCCGTTGAAGGTCTCGTCTTTTTCATCTTCACCTTACTGCTGCAGTACAAGTTCTTCATTTACTTCAGGTAAAACTGCCTCTGAATTTCTGCTTTTCATCGCTTTTTTTTTCTATACCATAAATCAGACAGTCCCATGTTTTGTTGTACATTTAGCTGCTGTTTGAATTTGTATAATTTAATAATATTAAATTGTATTTACATATTTATTTTACTGTCACAGAATGACTGACGTTGACTGACGTATTTCTAGAAAAATAATAATAAATACACGGCTAACATACATAAATTATTCCTGTTATGGAATAATATATTAATTAATAAATTATTATATTAATGAATATATTAATATTTTGGTCACGTTATTCCACAATTCAGATTACCGTAGATCTTGTTTGTGTTCAGGCCGTGGTGGAGCGTTCCCCAGCTGCCTCCTCTTGCTCCAGAAGATGAGGATGTAGGAAGGGAACGAGAACGGGTGAAAAGCGGCAAAGCTCAGTCCGACATCCTCACCATGATAGACCTGAGCAAGGTGCAAACAATTGAAACTGTTTTGAATTGGACTAAAATTACATTAAATGTATGCTCCTAGTTAACTTTAACTAAATTTGCTTAAACAGGAAAACTTCAGGAAACTTAAATTAAATTATAAGAACTAACTTTGCACATTTTTGCTCGAGCTGCAGGCCTTTCTTTGAATATCAGTGTTACGATTGAAAACTCATATTCAGCAAGTTAAAACATCACTTTTAAAATGTCTGACACATTTCTCTATAACTAATCTTTTCACAAAGATAACCTCATTTTAGCAAAGAGCACTTGTGCAACAGAATATAATGAAATCTGCACAGAGGCTTTTATAAAAAGAATATCTGTAGAAATATTTATAGCCTAATACAGTACGTCCTCTTGCATCCTCAAACACATTCACTCATGAATACCTTTTTGACTGCACGACTGTGAATTCTCAGTGTATAACGTAAAATGACTTTTTGTTTGTTCAGGTTTATAGATTAGGCAGAAAGCCAGCAGTCGACCGTCTCTGCCTTGGGATTCCCCGCAGTGAGGTCGGAAACTTACATCAATGACTGATGCAGACACCAGTGTTTTTAGAATTTTTGTAAATCATACAGTTAAATATCACATTTATCATTTTATTACCAACACTTTTTATTTTTCCCCCTGTTTTCTGTTTTTGTTTTGCATCTACCCTCCAGTGTTTTGGTCTGCTTGGGGTGAACGGAGCAGGGAAGACGTCTACGTTTCGCATGCTGACTGGAGATACACCCATCACATATGGGGAGGCTTTCCTCAACCATCACAGGTACAAAATGTCTCCTCTACTTTAAATTCCTCTAAACATTTACCCACTAAAGCGGCTGTTTGTGTGATTTTTTAGCGTGCTGAGAGAGATGGAGCGAGTCCACCAGCTGATGGGTTACTGTCCACAGTTTGATGCCATCAGCGACCTGCTGACGGGCCAGGAGCATCTGGAGCTGTACGCTCGTCTGCGGGGGGTGCCAGAGGAGGCTGTCACCAAGGCAACTAAACTTTAAGAAATCCTGAAGCTGTTATTAATTAATATGAAGTGTTGTCATTCTTGTTTGGAGTTGTGAATCCATTAACTGTCAGTGATATTGTTTCTGTGCTGTTCTGTAGGTGGTGCAGTGGGGGGTGAAAAAGCTAGGGCTGACACAGTACGCCAACCAAAAGGCTGGAGGGTACAGTGGCGGCAACAAGAGGAAACTCTCCACAGCGATCTCCCTCATTGGGTCGCCACCTGTTATATTCCTGGTGAGGAATAAAAAGCTCATGCAAAGGAATAACTTTTAAAAGTTACTTCCCTTAAACAGGAGGCGCTTCATTAGCATCACTTTTTTGTTATGACCTGCTGCTGAAGGCGTAAGGGCAACAGAGTGTTGTTCTGTTAGCAAAACATCTCATGAACCACTACATACATTTGAATGAAACTCTCAAAGTAATGATGGATGTACATTTACAACGGAATAACATTTGGAGTCAACCTGATTCAAGATAACCAGCACAACTAAATGACCTTATCAAACACAACAATGGCTACAGCTCAGCTAATTTTTACAGATACTGAACTACAGTTTGGTGTAGTAGTAGCTGAGAGTCATTCGCCCCTTTTACTCTGAACGCTGTCACACAGTACTACATTAATGTCATGTACACGGTTTGGCCAAAACAGCTAAAACTTAATTTCTTCTTCAGAATAAAGTAATTTTATTATAAAACTGGCATTTAAAGCCGGTGATAATCACTCCTTCAGTGAATGTTTGGTTTTTAACTCTCTTAATGTTTTTCTTTTATTCATCTATCATCAGGATGAGCCCACCACTGGGATGGACCCAAAAGCCAAAAGATTTTTGTGGAACTGTATCCTCAGCATCACAAAAGAGGGACGAGCAGTTGTACTCACCTCTCACAGGTAAGAAAGAAGAGCACCAAAATACCAAAACAAGGTTGTGTTCACTGTAAAAACGGAAGACTGATCCATCAGTTGAGCACCTAAAACCACAAAAAACACTGATATTTGGGGTTAAAGCATTCTTTAGAGAGATGTAAATGCTAATGGTTGTATTTTCTGTGTGGTCAGCATGGAGGAGTGTGAGGCCCTCTGCACCAGGATGGCCATCATGGTCAACGGCAGGTTTCAGTGTCTTGGATCTGTGCAACACCTGAAGAACAGGTAACTACACACAGTCAGCTGGTTTCACATCTTTCCTTCCACACAATGATATTGTGACATTTTAAAGTATATATAAGTGAGCGCACATGATGCTGAAATTAAAAGAGACTAGAATGTCTCATCATATACGGTGAAGCTGACTGGCACAATTCGTACCTATTATATTAATGTAACCACTAAATCAAGCATGTATGTTGACAGTCTTTTTATTTGTGCATGTTTGAGACTCATGCTGTGAGAACTTTTAATGTTTTTTTTGTGTTGTTACAAACAACATGATTAAATCCTTAAATTTGTGTTCGTAATGTATAAGTAGTGAATCCTGAATTCTGTGTTCAGGTTTGGCGATGGATATACCATCATCCTCCGTTTGATGGACAACAAATCTGTCCTGGACTCCTGTCCCGTCGACGCCTACATGAGGACGTCTTTCCCCAGCATCGAGCTGAAGGAGAAGCATCAGAGCATCCTGCAGTACCAGCTGGCCTCACATACCTGCTCCCTCGCTCATGTCTTTGAAGTGCTGGCCAACAACCATGAGGAGCTCGGCATCATAGACTTCTCTGTCTCACAGACCACTCTGGACCAGGTGAGGAAGACAATCTACCTACATAAAAGATTTAAAGCTCTCACACAAACTTGTGAACTTTTCAACAAAGGTTAACGCAACCTTCATTTAAACAGAGTTCTGCAGCCTGAACATCAAAAATCTCAAATTTAATTCTCTAAATTCACTACATTAAGCCAGTATATCACTTGGCTGCCACTGTTGGAGACTAGTTGGAGATTCAAGCTGAGAGAAAATTGAAAGATAATACATGTTTCCTTAATGTAGTAAACAAATAAACAGATGGCAGTTCTAAAAAATGGCTCTAGCTCTCTAGAATTACAGAAACTCAACTGAGAAGGGTTTGAGACAGGTTCCAGATAACAGCTTTAACTTGGCCACTAAATGAGGACAGTCTTTATCTGACAGGTTGTTGTTTTGTTTTTGTGAAAATGCACTAAATTGATCCAACACCACTGCATCTGAAAAACATCTCATTTTTGTCCTGGGTGTCCCCAAACAGTTTCAGGAGTGCTAGAGCTGTTTATGACACCTACATAGAAGGTGCTGACAGAAAATAGCCACGATCAAATTCAGGTCTAATAAAACCACACCACTGATAAATAGTAATTACAGAAGAAGTGCTTCAGATCTGCCTATCTTTATGTCAAATTTGTACTCTAATAAATAATAAACAAATGTGGGTGTGGCTTCCCAAGTGGGTACAAAGCGATCTGAAGCAGGTGTGATGTTAGCAAAGGTGTGCAAGAAAATAATGTGCAGTCTAGAATACAGTTTTGCTAAATTTGTTCACAAAATAAACTGGGATTATCAGACATTGTTTGAACAGCATTGTTTAAACATGTTTAAAACATGGTCACATGACTCGCACTCATTTATTTCAGGAAAACTGCAACTGAAAGTTTGACCATTTTTTCACAAACCTCTCATAATTTTGAGTCTCCAGCTTGTTTTGAACAGTCACAGCCCAGTGAGATACCACCTTAATCTGTGTTCAGCAGTATACTGGATGTTATTATCCTGATCGCTGACCACACTGATAAATTTGTGCTAAGAAATTAATCCATCTTCACACTATACTGCTTCATTTTATAGGTATTTATCAGCTTTGCGAAGGAGCAGACTGATGACGACTGTCTCACAGATGTGGTCATCAGCAACGGAGCAGCCCAAGTAAACTTCATTCCCCAGATTAACCCTCCCGTAATCCAGCCACAAACACTGATCACACCTCAGCTGAAGAAATCACAGCAGATTCCTGCTAAATCACCTGACGCCAAACCAAAAGCAGCTAAACAGAAAAAGACAAAGGTCAGCAAGGTCGAGTCTGATGGAAACACAAACAGCAGTGTGCCTATGAGCCAAATCCCTCAGATTGAGAAGACCCAAGAGGCGAGCAGCAGTAACAGTGGACTTCAGAGGAAATCCAGTAAACGCCGAAGCTCCAAACCCAAAAAGGAGAGCTCCAACAAAGATCCCTCTGCACTCTTCATAGTCGGCACCACCTCTCAGGACAGCTCTCTGTGAAGCAGACTGGTGCTCCACAGGCGGACCAAAGACACAGAAGCTTGTGATTTCTCTATTAATTTGTTTATTTGAACTCTGCAGGGTTCGCAGTAACATGACACAACCAAGCTTTTAAAGCATAGACTCAAGTTTACGGTAATAAGAAAAGAAGGAAATCCTTCTTCATAATGGCTGCTTGTGCCTTGTTCACCTCGTCACACGTCTGTAGCTTTATACCCATGATGTGGGATCATAAAACTGATAACATCAGAATAACTTCTTCGAATCATCTTGATCTACTTCTTCATCTTCTGCCACTTATTGGTAGTTGAGTCACGGAGGCAGCTGGTCCAGGAGAGAAACCCAGACATCCTTGTCCTCAGCAACATTTTCTAGCTTGTCCTGGGGGACACCAAGGTGTTCCCAGACCAGAGAAAATACACAATCCCTCCAGCAACTTCTGGATCTTCTCTGGGACCTCCTACCAGCAAGAGGTGCTCGGAAAACCTCTAAAAGTAGGTGTCCATGAGGCATCTTAATCAAATGCCTGAACCACCTCAACTGACTCCTTTTGATGCAGAGGAGCAGCGGCTCTACTCCAAGCTCCTCCCCCCGGATGACAGAGCTCCTCACTGTACCTCTAAGGCTGAGCCCAGCCACTCTACAAAGATAGCCCAATTTGGCCGCTTGTATCCAGGATCTCGTTCTTTCCGTCATGATTAAAACCTCATAGGTGAGGGTTGGAATGTAGACAGACCAGTAAATCAAAAGCTTTGCCTTTTGACTCAGCTCTTTCTTCACTAGGATAGACCGAAGCAATGTCCTCGTTACTGAGGACGAAGCCCCAATCCGTTGATCCAGCTCCTGCTCCATCCTACCATCACTCGTGTACAAGACGCCCAAATACCGGCACTTGAACTCCTCCACCTGAGGCAAAGTCTCCCCCTGACCCAGAGGGGCCAATCCACCCATTTCTGGTTGAGAACCATGATCTCAGACTTAGAGGACCTGCCAGCTGCTTCACACTCAGCTGCGAACCTTCCCAGTGCACGCTGAAGATCTCATCCACATAAAGCAGTGATGAGACCCTGAGGTTCCCAAACCAGACACCCTCCTCTCGTTCCATGACTACAATGGAAGCCACACTGTTCCTCCTGAATCTGAGGTTTGACAATCAGTCAGAGCCTCCCTCCAAAAACCTTGATGGATCAACAACGAAGACATCAGGATACCTCACCCAGAAGAGGAAAACTGGGACACCTCCCTGGAGTCAGGCTTGGGGGGGAGGGGGTTGTTCACCAGCGAGCTCCTGGTGGTTGAGCCTTGGGTCCTGGGGCTCGGCTGTACGAAGCCCGAAGAAATGTTGGGAACCTATCACCACAAGAGCCCAACACCTGAGGGAGGTCCATCGAGGTTGGGTGCAGAGCAGGCCAGGTGGCAGGCGAGGGGGGCCACGCCTATTCTTGGTGGCATAGACTGGTTCTTCTTGCAAACCAGTGGAATTTATTATAAAATATTATTATGCAGAGCTCAGAGCACAAACATTGAGTTATGTTTCTCAGGACTCATCACTTGACTACTTAAAGTTTTATTCCAGAGAGCACTTTATTAAGACAGAAGCTGCTGCTGGTCTGAAACAGCTGATTACAATTGTTACATGCTTTTATAAGGGCGGTTTTATTTAAATATTTTGAGCATTTTAACTGATGTTACAGGATAATTCACTGGGTTTCTTACCTCTTTAACATCATCTTGTTTTTAAATCCAATATTTATTTATATATTTCTCTTTTGATCGTGCGGTTATTTATTCATGTCTCTGTAGGTCACGTGTTTTTTTAATCAAACAAGAACTTCTCGTCCTGAAAAGCTTTAGACATAAAGGTGTTGCTCCGTGTTAATTTGACTGTATTATTATATGCCAAACTTTCCAAATTCAATCAAAGAAAGAATATTGATCAGCTGAAAATGATCAAAATGTATGGCCTTTGAAGAAGGAATGTTTTATGATAAACTGTTTTTTTGCTTCTATAAACCAAACAGATCTGCTGAGTGTCTGAAACAGGCTGCTACTGAAACGCACTGTTACGCATTTTAAAGCTTGTTACTGTAGTAACTGAAGTGTGCAACTTCCGTCTGTGAATGGACCTTTTAACGATTAAATCTGAGTTTTAACGTGTAACTCAGAGCTGCTTTTCATTCTTTTACTCCAGTTTTTAATTTCTTTGTTTTGCATAAGCTGCAATCTTCAGACAGATGTACTGAAATGATGCAAAACAGGTTTCGGATGGGTGAAATAAAGCTGTTTTTTATTTAGCTATATACACCTCCATGTCAGATCATATTTTGAAAAGCTGTATATGCTGTGAATGTTTTTTTCCTGAAAGAAAATAAAAATGTTTGATTTCTATACCTGATTCAAAACAAGAGACTCGCGTTTCATTGAGGCTTTATTTTTTTAAGTGCTTATTTCTCTTGCTCCACATCAGACGTAAAGATATGTTCTTTAATGTCTGAAATGTTGAACACATGATTAAAAAAAAAGTTGCCACTTACAGTAACTTGATAAAACTAGCACTTGAACATTAATAATGGTCAAAAAGTTGGTTAATTTTTGCAATAGTGGACCAAGCGTGTTTTGACGTTTAACAAGACATTTTTTTTTACATAAACATATTCAGACAAAACATTAGGCGCATCAGATCACATGATATTTCTCTGCTAAACTTTAAACACAATAGCTAAATTTTCAGCATCAAAATGTTAATGAGGTTTCCCACTGTGTTCAAATATCTTCAAACATTAAACAATTATTAAAATGAGCTCAAATAAAACTAAAAATGAAAGGCTGAAAATATAATGTCTCACAAAGTAAATATTGTATTAATGGAAAAATTAAACGAGGTTTTCTGATTATTAATAAATTTTAAAAACTGACATTATTTATATCAGGGGGCACACTCTGGATTTGGTGATTACAGACACTGTACCTATCAATAACTTATCTGTATATGGCCTGGGTGTCTCAGACCACAGTGTCATCTCCCTGGAAGTGCCTTCAACTTTATCTGCTCCTAATCCTAAACGACTTATCCAGTTCCGTGACTTTAAAAACATTTCCCCTGAGGTTCTGTCCTCTGATCTCCACTCCCTGACTGCTGTCAATCATTCATCTGCAAATGACTCTGTGGATTACTACAACCAATCTCTCCAGGAGCTTCTGGACCTCCATGCTCCCTTTAAAGCAAGGCTGGTGTCTTTCTCCCGTTCAGCCCCTTGGTACACTGCTGAGCTGCGCAAGATGAAAGCAGCTGGCCGTGCTATTGAGAGACGTGTAAAATCATCTGGTCTCTCTGTACATCAGCAGGCATATAAAGAACATCAGAAAGCCTACGCCTTTTCTCTTAAAGAAGCACGGTCCAAATATTATTCCAACATCATCAACAACTGCCCTGGAAACTCTAAACAACTCTTCTCCACAATAAATCATCTCCTTAATCCCATTAAACAGTCTCATGAGGACTCTGTTCAAAAATGCAACCTGTTCCTTTCATTTTTTAAAAACAAAGTTAACTCCATTAGATCTCAGCTCCATAGCCTCCCTGATCTTCATCTGCCATCTACCCGTCTGCATTCTGGGTCCCTGAGCTGCTTTGATGAGGTTGTTCTGAGTGAAGTGGAGACCATCATCAAGAAAATGAAGCCTTCATCCTGCGCCCTGGATCCCTTCCCCTCGTCTCTCATTAAATCCAATCACTCTGCAATAAGCCCATTAATCACACAAATAATAAATAAGTCACTGCAATCTGGTCAAGTTCCACTGCCTCTTAAAACTGCCATCATTAGGCCTCTTCTGAAAAAATCTAATTTGGATCCAGACATTCTTTCTAATTACCGCCCAATTTCTCACCTCCCATTTCTGTCAAAAGTGCTGGAAAAAGCAGTTGCTGCTCAGCTGCAGATCCACCTACAACAACACTCCCTGTATGAGAAGTTTCAGTCTGGCTTCCGTGCAGCTCACAGTACTGAGACCGCACTGCTGAGAGTCACCAATGATGTCCTCATGGCTGCTGACACTGGTTCTCCCTCCCTCCTTGTTCTCCTTGACCTCACTGCAGCTTTCGACACTGTGGACCATAGTATCCTCCTCCACCGTCTTCATGTGGAGGTCGGTCTCTGTGACACTGTCCTGGACTGGTTTAAATCTTTCCTCTCCAATAGGCTGGAATGTGTTAGTCTTGGCAATGCCAAGTCCCAGACTGTCTGTGTCTCCTGTGGTGTCCCTCAAGGGTCAGTTTTAGGGCCCCTGCTATTTTCCCTTTACATGTTGCCTTTAGGTCAAATTATTAATCAGTACAACATTTCTTTTCACTGTTATGCCGACGATACACAGCTTTACATCAGGACCGGAGCATCATCTTCACCACTGTCATCTCCATCTTCACTCGCTGCCCTCTCTACCTGCCTGGAGGAGATAAGGGCATGGATGAATCAGAACTTTCTTCAGTTAAACTGCTCCAAAACAGAGGCCATACTGATTGGCACCCCTCACCAGGTTCAAACTTCAACTATAACGACTATTTCATTTTCCGGACAAGACATCCCCCTCTCCACCTCTGTTACAAATCTTGGAATAAAAATGGACACTCATCTTACATTTGAAAATCACATTAAGCATCTGTTTAAAACCTGTTTCTTCCATCTTCGAAATATCTCCAAACTGCGCCCATCTCTCACTTTTGCTGATGCAGAGAAACTCGTCCATGCTTTTGTCTCCTCCAGGCTCGACTACTGCAACTCCCTGTTTACTGGAATACCCGGCAAAAACCTTCAGAAGCTTCAATATATTCAAAACAGTGCAGCCAGGATTTTATTGAGAGCTCGTAAATTTGAACATATTACACCCATTCTCCATAACCTCCATTGGCTTCCTGTCACTTACAGAATTCAGTACAAAATTGCTCTCATCACCCATCAGTGTTTATATGGAAATTCACCAGATTATCTGAAGGACCTTCTTGCTCCATATTCATCCACCCGGTCCGTACGATCACAGAACAGTCATCTCCTCCACCTTCCACGAACTAAATTAAGAACCATGGGAGATCGAGCATTCTGTGTGGCTGCC